TCGCTGGGGAAACCTTATTGAATCAGTACACAGAGTCTGTGTATTTCATTGTGATTTACTTCCAGTCCTTCACGTACACACGTGCATATCAACAAGTGTCTGTCACACGCTCCACAGAAGGCTCTGGTTCATTCATACAGTGCTTCCCTGACTGTGCCTGACAGGAAGCAGACATCATGCACAATTAAAGGTAAATGCCTTATTGATAGAGAGATGCGTATATTTTTAAGAACTTTGCTGTTTTGGATGTTCATTAAAATGATCTGTAAGATATCCCATTGAGTTATTTATTGACAGAAGTCATTGATTATGTTTCAGAGGCAAAGTTGCTTTTGTACAAGAGGCTCTAAATGAAATGAAATTATTTAAAAAACAAATTATATCCCTATGTACGTAGAGCTTCTGTATATCTGAATTCGGACAGCTCTATAAATATGTTGTCTTTGCTGTACATGTAATTGAAAAATACATCAAATTCTTAATAGCACAGTTCATATAAGGAAATTAATGTAATAATTGAAGATGTAATGTTAATATCTTTACTGCTATTTTATTTAGTTACAAGTATACAATGTAATCATATACTGCTTGTGCTAATAAAGTAATGCCTTTTATTTATGTGAATATTATTATAAGGCAGTGGTTCCCAACCTGGAGGTCGTGACCCCCCAATTAAGTAAGGCTTTCTTGATTTAAGGGGTGTAAGAAGACTTTAAAAATATACACAGTAGGCCTGTATAACATCATTCCATTCATTCATGTGAAGAAAACCACTGCTAAACATCCTCATCCTGCTTTAGAACAATGGCCAAGTATCAAGAAGAAGAAAACACTAAATTTGTCAAGGAAGAAGCCTATTAAGTATGTATGATTGTTACAAATTACAAAAAGCATAATACAGACAGAGGATTGTGTAAAGAAATACAAGAAAATATCAGAACAACTGGTCTCTAATGCAATATTGACAAGAAGTAATTGCTCAAAAGTCATCCAAATCACTAATGTTACACAAACTTCCTGCAGCTATTACGTTCTCTGTGTGGGTTAATTGTACAGTTTATCAGTTGTTCTTGTATGTGTTAAATATAATATGAAATATCCATAAAATATGTCAGTGAATGATAGAAAAGGGTTGCACACCACTGTTACAAGACACACTTCATACCATCTGTGTCACTAAGCATTTACACAACGCCGCTTCTGATTCCTGACCAATCAGCGGTCTCCAGTTACCAAAACACGGGACGAAAGCCAATCAGATCTTTAACCGGCGCCTATGACCCCGCCCCTGGAGTATCCCTCGACCAATCAGCGTTGCGTGTGGGCGGGACCTTTCGTCAGCCCGCACCTGCCTTTACAAACAGTGGGGAAATGGAGAGTCAATGACAAGCTACCGGCGGGCCGTTGGTGCGTCCGACACCCTGAAAGGAGAGTTTATCACCAACAATAACAGCAGGTAATCATTAACTACAGCTTTAACAGTCTTGGGACCTCATTAGTTTGTAGGTATTGTGTTAAAATAAGATGATTTTAAACCACTAACAGCGTCCGTGTGTCACGTTAGCTTATGAGTTTCCCTTGTTTTAGCTGTTAGCTTGATGTTTTCCGTGTTTGATGCTGTCCTTTGTAACTGTGCACTACACGGGCAATTTAATGACTATTAATGGTATTTACATATATTATTATTGTATTTTCACTTTATATTTTTTGTTTTAATAAGACAAAAAGACAAATGAAAATGCTGAAATGCCTTTAACACTTATTTATTAAGTTAAATTGTAACTGTGAGTTCATTTAATGTAATGTAATGAGGCTTTTTTAAAGATCTACTATTAACATTAGTTTGATAATATATTACATTTAAGTAATTACCAATGTTTTGCTGCTGAAAGGCTCCATGAAACAAAACAGAATAAAAAAAAAAAAAAGGTTATAATGTCAAATAATATACAGTGGCTACCACACACCTGTATCTTATAACTGTGCTGACATCTGCAAAGAGTTTTAATGCAAACAGATGAATGCAACTCAACAAATAAAATAACAAACAAATAGTTTGACTTTGAGGTTACACAGATTTGCAAAGGAAATCTAGTCTGGCCATTTGCTTTCTAGCCTGGCTCAACATCATGAGGCAGATTGAAACCAAACTCTGGAGGCATTCACAGAGCAATGAATGTTAAAGTGTTAAATGTGTTAAAGGTAAGCTGTTGGGATCAGGAGGATTTCAGGATGAAGCAGTGGGGGGGGGGATTGTCTGTCTTGAACAGATCACAGCAGGAACCTAAGACAACATTCACTCGCACAATATATATTAAAAAAAACAGCCCTTTGGAGATACCGCATACGGGACTTTTAACTTTATTCAACATATTCGTGGCTAAGGTCGGTGAAAGATCGACATATAAAAGTTAAAATGAAGATGTTTTCTGCTGATGATGAAGCTCCACAGTTGCGTCCTCTGCAGGGGAAAAGGTTTCTCACAGCGGTCCTCACCAACAATAGCTTATTCATAATACTCATTCATACACAGGATACAAAGAGACAGCAAGTATTTTAAAACACTGTAACACACCTTAAATGTAAAATGTGCTGACAATAATCTTCATAGATATATTGTCAAAAAAACCTGTAGAGCAAGTCAGTCAGGATTTTTAACACACACTTTAAATGTAGAAGAAAAGCTGATATTTTAATAACCTCCAGAGTAGGTGTGGGCTATATTACCCTCGAATAATATCACAATATTTCACATTATTTCTGTGATAATTCTTAATAATGTGACAAAATGCCGAAGAATATTTGGTGGTGAAATAAGTTTCTTGTATTGCCTCCTTTTGACATTACAGTCTAGTTGTGGGGGCATATAATGCCGATATGTTGTTATCTTAACATGTAGTGTTATATGTAATATGTATTAATTATTATGTATTATTTAATTAGAAGAATACATTGGGTTAGCTGTAGAAAGTGTTTGGTTTGTCTATTCTGGACTACTGTAGAAACACAGGGGGGGTTAACAAATGCTCGATACCCTCGAAGAAGACCCACTTCATAAAACATTTAGGATGGGAAAAATGTGTTAATATTTATGGTGACTGAGGAAATTTAGGTAAAGGTTTACTTTACATATACAGAGTTTATAGAACAGGACTTGAAACTAACTTTTTTACCACCTTCCCAAAACTCACAAGGCGCTAATATTGTTCCATTGATGTGTCTACAGAGATGTTTTGTTCATCAACCTCATGACTGCAGGCATCGACCGATGACAATTATCTCTAAACACCATACATACGTCCTGTTTAATCGGCCCGTCTCTATACAGTCTTCTTGCACTTCCTGCGTATTAGTGGTTTGTTGTACATCTGATCTTTTGTAACCAAATCACTTCCACACTCATGAAGATCCTGTGGATCCGGTAGCAATGTTACTTTCAATTTCAGCCATGCTTGTGTGTTGCTGTGGGAATATATTTGCGGTATCACAATAGGAATCGTGTTCATTATATAATCACATGATATAGGGTTGTAAAAGGGTTGTATGTGTCTGTGTATTAAACCCTAATCCACTGCTGAACCTTTTATTATTTGATTGGAGGCTTTTTGTGAGGGTAAGGGGCAAGAAAGGGAACGGGGAGACAGAGAGGACGATGAAATGTGGTAAATGTCTCCAGCTGTAATCTAAGTGGGGACACAGCAGCCACGTGGCAAGTGTCCCTAGCAACTTGACAACTAGGACGCCCTGCTGAACTTTTGTTTGTGTTTTCCAGATTTGCATCATGGTCAGGTAGCTGTTTGGAGCGATGGGGTTTTTCAGGGAGCTCTCCCTCCTGCTCTGGAAGAACATAACGTACCGCCGGAGGAACAAGGTGACCACATTTGAACAGAAAGGAGTAAAATAGTTTGTTGATTCTGAAACTGAGACACAGCTTGAGCATTAAATGTGTGAAATGATTTGATGCACGTGTAACAGCTCCAACGCCCTCCTCCTACGCAGATCCAGCTGATCATCGAGCTCCTCTGGCCGCTGTTCCTCTTCGTCATCCTCATCTCAGTTCGTCATTCACACCCTCCGTACAAACAGAGCCAATGTGAGTGATGTTATGTAATGTGTGTGTTTTCAGACACACTCTTAACTTACAGGTCTGGAAAATGGCTTTGTGCCAGCCAGCTAAAGAGGATTAGCTCACTGAGAGTGATTCCTGTGCCAGGCACGCACATTTGTTTTTCCTAAACTGCTGCGTTCTTGACCTTCTTCGAGAAGTTCTTCATTAGCATGAGGTGACCTAACATGACATGGTAACATAATAAAACACAGCGTGGCAAGACGCAACACCATGTAGGCCAGCTGGTCAGTGCCTTAATACACGTAAAGTTACAGTAGAAGACGGTAACGGATTTGGAAAGAAACCACAAACAGAACCTTGCTTGTTACCAGTTTTAATTACGATATGAGGGGTTTGTATTTACTGTATACCGTACTTTGTTTTAAGTGGACACTACACATACAGTACATTTTGTTTTAGGAGCCTGAAAACTTCTGTTCAGTTTCTGTTTGTGTGTTTTTTTCTGGACATTGCTTCCATGAGAACATGCTTCTTCTTTCCTGTTTTTGTCTATCATTAAAAGCAGCCCAGGATCAGGTTGAAGATTGTATAACAGTGTAATCTGATATCAATTATAACAAAAACAGCATTTAATGAAATGAACAGCAGCTTGAGTAATGCTAGGATTATAGTTCAGTCCACTGCCTGTAGATTGTATTTCAGCCCACCATCACAGTATTTCTATTGTTTTATATCTCGGTCTAATCTCCTGGGTCTGAACTGTTTGTGTTTTCCTTTCCTTTCCTTGTAGGTCACTTTCCAAACAAAGCCTTGCCATCGGCAGGCACTTTGCCATGGATTCAGGGCATTATCTGCAACATCAACAATCCCTGCTTCCACAGCCCGACACCAGGGGAGACGTCGGGCCAAGTTGGCAACTTTGACAACTCCATGTAGGTAGACTGGAGGTAAAAACATGGGCAGCTGTCTGGAGAGGTGGAGTTTACCAGAGGATCGTTGCTTGTAGAATAAAGCCCAAAAGATAAACAGACAAACTGCCGTCACTCAAGATTTATGTTATATTTTTGATAAAATACAAAATCAGCCTGTTGTTATTGACTTTGGTTATTAGCTCAAGAAAGCTGTAGAGCAGACTGCAGTGCTGCTGTAGTAAGACCTGCAGCCGTGATTTAAAGATCAACTCCAGTGTTCTTGAGCTATTAGACGAAAGTAACACAAAGCCTTTGATGGCATCATTTTTGAATATAGGAAATCATAACAGTTTGCATACCGTACTTTACATAACTTTGCATTAGCGTACATCAGAGGAGTCGTTTGTTGGAAAATATGCACGCCAGAGAAGATTAGACGATCAATACCACTCTCATGTCTGTTTGTTAAATAGAAAGCCAGCAGCTTAGCTCAGCACAAAGACAAAAAACAGCTAACGTGGCTCTGTCTGAAGCCTACAAGCAGTACCTTTTTAACTAATTAACTTTTTATATGTCTGTTTAATCTGCACAAACCAACATAAAAAACAATGTTGGACTTTTTAGTACTACACTGTGGTTTGTCTGTTTGTCTTGTTTTTACCTTGAGCTTGTCAGACAACCAGCAGAGACTTTTCCTACTTTCCAGGCAGCAGTTTCATTTCAGATCACTGTGATGTAAAAATCCTCTCAGGCAATCCATCACAGACAACATTAAGTCACCTTTTTTTTAATTAATTAATTAATTAAGCCTATTACATGGAGTTTTTTTTACTGGTTATGAAATAGTCTCAGTTTAATACTGATGCCTCTATGTGACCTACAAGCACACGAGACCATCAGCGAGAAGATTTGCTATTTCTATATAGTTATTCTTAATGTCTGTCACCAGGTCAGATTTAAACAATAGCCAGAAACAATACTGCTTATGTCCACAGGGGCCGCCAGAATCAACACAAAGTGCTTGTTGTTGCTTTAATTTCTTTCTTTCCTTTATGTAAACGTTAATGGCTGCATTTATATATCGCTTTACAGGATTTAGCTACATTTGTCATGAGTATTTACACACTCACACACTGCTAGGTGCTGACCATCAGAGCAATCTGGGGTTCAGTGTCTTTCCCGAGGACACATGTAGACAGCTGGGGATCTAACCACCAACCCTGTGATCGGTGGATGACCCACTGGTATGTCAAAGTTACATATTGTGTAATGATGCAGTTGACATCAGAGAGTGTTTAAAACCCTTCTTTGGTGCTTTCAGTTGCTCCCACATCTGGTTATACATCTGGCTTAAATTAGCCCCAAGTTGAATTCTTCATTGAACATAGTTGGTAGTGTTTGCAGAGGGGAAGTGTGTACTGGTAAAAAAAAAAAGTCTGTAAAATGTAACGTAGCTGCATGTGTTCGTCCCACTAAAGGCTCCTCTTGTTGTCCTTCTCCTCCAGACTGTCTCGTCTCTTCGTGGACGCCCAGACAGTTCTGTCCTACAGTGGAAACCAGAGATTCTCGGGCTTTCAGGACCTGATGGAGAGTGTCCGAAGGCTGGGAGAGAGACCTGGAGCCTGGCCAAGTACCACAACTTATTTAAATCTCCTCTAGCACAGACCCAAAGAGATACCTTGACAGAGTGACCCAGTGACACTGGTGTTTACTTTCTAAAGGCACCTTATTCACCACTTTATCCAGAGAGTTCATTAGATTTCATTATAATCCCAGTAATTAATGAGCTGACTCATTTTGGCAGACAAACATGCATAGTATATAATGTCAAGGTATATCTTTAAGGTTGCTTTCCAAGAATCAGAATAAATTATGTATATGGAGAAACCCAATAGAGCCTTGGCTTCTGTCAGTGAAGATGTAGTGCAGTTTAAACAAAGTCATTGTGTGGTAAAGTGCAGGAAGACAAGATGACCACAATGTTTGAATCCAGGAAGACAGCAGAAGGAAATCTTTACTTCAAATGTCAAAGCACTAATAACAGAGATTGCAAACCTACTTTGTTTATTAAATAAAAACAAATGTGCATTAAAAGAACCTAATGTTATGGATAGCAGGATTAAGTCCCTGCAGGCCATCAAATACAAACAAATTCAGATTTTATTTTTTGAGCCAGAGCTGTTCCCAGACTTATCTGAGCAGGTTTGAGAGGTTACAGTAGCAGCCAGTAGCTGATCTGTATGAATGGTTTTAAACAGGTGTCGAGTGACCGGTTGAATGGGGCCATTTACTGCTGCTGTGAAAGCAGCACAAGCAACTTAACAGAGAGTCTGCTCAGCTTCTGCTTTCTGGGCAGATTAAATTACATGACTACCGGCAGACAAAAGAATTAGATGAATTAAAGCAGGTCTTCAATGAGGTTTTTTTCATGCAACAAAATCCCTTGTAAATGGCCTAACAGACATCTGCTGAATCCTAAAATCCTGACCCACTGATACTGTAAAGAACTTTGTAACCTCAGAACTGTTCTTTTCTAGATTTAGAACAATTACTGATTTAGTTGAGAGGATTTCTCAGCGGTACAACTTAAATGGTTTAGTTAAACTTGCATGCACACGAGGGCACAGTAGTTTATCTGTCAAGATTTTTATTTAATACAAGGTATTTATTGTTTGTGTTTCCTCTGTAGATCTCCCAGTACAAGAATACCTGAGAGCCAATGAGACGTTCTCCACCTTCCTCCTGACCAATAGCACCCTGTCGCCTGTGACGGTGGACCAGCTGCTGAAGGCTCGTCTCAATTTTCAGGTGAGGGTATCGGCTGTAAATCCTTGGACAACAAACATTGGATGTATATAATAGTATATACCATGTATATAGTATATATGTATATGTATAAATAGTAGCTATGTATATGTGTATATACATATATACCTATATGTGTGTATATATAGATTCAATTTGACAAACCTAACTATCTATCTATATATATAGGTAACCCAGTGCAAGTGATTTTCCCCAAAAAATAGGTTGAATCAATTATAATGATTAAGTGGCAAAAAATATTAGATCAAATAGATTACTACAGTCCTGATTCATGAATAAAATAGGGATTGTGAACTGTGGAACTGGGTTAAAGTCAAATACAAACTAAATGGATAAAAAACTTTAAACACCAGACTTGAAAAGTATGAGATAAATAGTACAATTTAATAAGTTAGTAGTATTGAAAAGTTACTATCAACACAGATGATAATTACAGTTAAAGTTTTGTGTATTATTTGTTTCATAGCCTAATGGTTTTAAAAGTAAACCATTTTGTCCCATCCAGGTTTCTCTGGCTGGAGCTGAATTGCAGCTGAAGGACTTGGTGTGTAACGCGAGCATGCTGGGACAATTTCTGACGGTGGACGGAGGAGAAGCCACCATGAACGATCTTCAGACTCAGCTGTGTAACCAGTCGGCCGACATCCTGCAGGAGGCTGAACGCCTTTTCCTCTCTCAGCTCGACTTTACCAAGTTCTTCACGGTAGGAATCAGTAAAAAATACACCAGTTCACCAGTGCAAGACTTCAGTGGATTCAAATGCAGTCGTCTACCTGTTCGCTGTGACACTGAGCTGCTGCAGTAAACCTGTCTGTCTGTGCTTCCTGTCAGAGAGACCGTCTGATGGCTAACGCTGGAGATCTCAGGGACATCAGTCAGGCCGTCACCTCAGTTTCCCAGGAGCTGGCTGTCCTCATTGATGATGTAAGAACACGGCTTTCACGTCCACCTGCGTCCGTATGTTTGTTCAAATGACATGAGATGCATCATTATGAATAATTCACTGTAAACAAATGAGACCATCGTTAAATGGATTGTTATTTTGTAACCGCTTCTGATTTCATATTAATCAACACTGAAGTCAGTAGTGGCTACTAGTGGACGCTTTTGATATTTATGTCTTTTTTTCCCCTTGCTTTGTTGTTGCTTCTTATTTTTTCACTTAAATTGACCAAATTCTCTCAAAGGATTAAATTTAAAAAAAAATCTTTTTCCATCTGTTTCCTTCTTGTATCCCTCACCTGTGTTTATTTTATCTTCCTTTCACTCTTCTCTGTCCTCCCTCAGTTCTCATCTCTGTCCAGCTTTGCGGACATGAGCGCAGCTCTACATCTTCTGTCTCCGGAGAATCGCTCTGCGCTGCCCAAAGAGAGTTTTCGTGCTTTTTCCAGGATCATGTGCGGTCACCCTGAGGTTGGCGGTGAGCGTATCCCATCACTCAACTGGTATGAGGACAATGACATCAAGTCCTTCTTAGGAAATAATGGTACTGAAGACACAGACCCGGACCGTGACAACAACACCAGTAAGAGGCTTTGGACGTCCTTGTTAGTGTGCAGTTTGTTTGTTCTCATCCAGCATGGATAGATAGATATGATTGGAAATGTGTACAAATGTTTTAAAGAGTCACTGGCATGGTCTGATAATTTTGTGATCTTTAAGATCAGTAATGTTCTGTGTGTACTGTTTGTCACATTTCCTCCATGCAGCTCCGTTCTGTAAAAGTTTGATCCAAGGTCTGGAGTCCAACCCTCTGTCTCGCATTGTGTGGCGAGGAATAAAACCTCTGTTCATTGGAAAACTGCTGTACACACCAGACACTCCTGCAGTGCAGCAAGTCATGAAAGAGGTACAGAGAGTCAAACCTCAGAGAGTTTGTCCCGTTGTTATAAGTCAAGATGTGATAAAGAAAGATTAGGAAAGACAAGAAAGTTCATGTTTAGTCTGTTTTGTCAAGAATGATCACCAACTTTTTACAGTAGGAATAATTGTAACTGATGGCCGATGTCACCAACAATGTTTGCTGAAAATTGTAATAATAATATTTATATATTGACTTTTACTGGAGTTCAATTCATGTGTGTGTCGCACTTTATGTAACCAAAACATGCCTCATTTAAACAATTTAAACCATTTAATGCATTTAAACCATTTCTTGTTGACGAGCAGTGAATATCACAAGTTACAGGTGATCGTGTTCAAGTTAAGTTATAATGTAAATTTGTGATAAACAGTTCAGAGCCCAATTTAGGGATAAATGCTCAGGTTGTGTATCTTAAACTGTTATACGAACCTGACAAACTCTCCAAAATGTCCTTATTCTGTAATAATCTCTCGGCTCAGCTGGAGAAATCAGACAGTACGTAACTGCAGTGTGTTCAGATCCTGGAACCAGCTGTTTTAAATTTATTTTTGGATTGGAGGTGTATTCTGTAGTTGTTGACATTATGAAGCAAACACATCTATCTAAGCTAACGACAAGTTGTGTCTGCTGAAGGTGAACAAGACTTTTGAGGACCTGCGGATCCTCCGGGAGCTGAATGAAGCCTGGCTGGAGGTGGGACCGCAGATCAAGAATTATATGGAGAACAGTGTGGAGATTCAGCTGCTGAAGGTTTGACTCACCAGTTGTGTGTGTGTGTGTGTGTGTGTGTGTGTGTGTGTGTGTGTCTCTGTGTGTCTCTGTGTGTCTCTGTGTGTCTCTGTGTGTCTCTGTGTGTCTGTGTGTGTGTCTCTGTGTGTGTGCGTGTTGTGTTTATGATACATTTGAAAATCCTTTTTTCATATTATGTGATTGTATGTGTGTGTGACAGGATTTGTTGAGGCGGCCTGAGGTGGCAGTATTAGTCAACCTGCGTCTGGAGAACACGTCCTGGACGGCCTCACGTATCGCACGTTTCCTGTCCACACCTTCGCCAGACGCCCCAAGGAAGCCTGGAGCGCCGCCGACCTGGCTGGACATCTACAACGACCTCAGCCACACCATCACCACTCTCGCTGAAGTCACAGAGGTTTTCTTCTTTTGACGTTCTTGTACTCTTCATGCTCTCTCTCTCTCCAAACATGTCAGATATTCCAGCTTCATTCTGGGAATAAGAACAGAAGCAGGGAAGTAGGGAGTTAATCTTCAAAATACACTAAATTTGCAAGAAACAGAAGTAAAGTGATTTTCTTTTTATTGCAATTTCCAACAAACCACAGTATGCTGGCTAAAGAGCTAATGCAGCCTGTTGCATAAGGAACAGGATTACACAGCTACAGCTGCAGGGTGACCATACAGGGCCGTCATTTTTGAGCTCCTTTGATATTCTTGAAAACTGGTTAGATGGGAAATCAGTTTGATTTTGCACCCAAAAGCGTAAAGTACAAGTTAAGTTTAACTTCAGCTTCAGTTCCCTGTTATTTATCATTCATATATTTCTATTTCTTATTATCCCCCTCAGTGTTTCTCCCTAAACAAGCTGGAGGGGTTGGAGACTGAGGGCCAGATGATCGACAGGGCTTTGGAGCTCCTGGAGGACAGGCAGTTTTGGGCAGGTGTGGTTTTCCTTCTGCCTAACTCCTCATCCCCTGACCTGCCGCCGCACATCACCTACAAAATCCGAATGGACATTGACGATGTGACCCGAACCAACAAGATCAAGGACAGGTACTGAGGAGGAATAGGGTTGTAAGAAAATACTGAAAAATATCGAATCGCGATAGTTTGTCTTGTAGTATTGTATTTATCCTAAACACTGTATCAACGCCCAACAGCTGGATAGCAGTGTTATAAATGGAGGGCTGTGATGTTGGATGTTGTAGTGATAAATACAAATACAGATCCCAGTGTTCTGTTTGCATAAAAAAGTAAACTTTTTGTGTTCTTTATATGATAGTTTTCCTAAAATTATCACAATATATTGAATCGTAACCCCTGTGTCATGATACATTTCGTATCACAGATTCCTCCAATACACAGCTCTACTGGGGAAGCACTAAAGCATCTTGCTTTTATTCTGCCTTTTCCTGAACATACTACTCGATGCTGAAACTCTCTCAAACCATATGTAATTTACTAATACTTTACTTTTCTGAGGTAACTGGACAAACCAAATTGAGATATGACTTAATCTAAGTTTCAGCTTTTAAATAATTTAGTACATAAACAGTATTCTCCTCTATGGGACTTGTTGCTGTCAGGTGAAATAAATTTAGTTCATCGTCATGTTTTATTATGATTACCTGCTCCCTTGTATGTTGAAAAAATATATTACTGTTGGGTTTATGAAATTCCATGAACTCCTTTATAAAAGATAGATTTAGATTCTCTGTTCTTGGTGTTGACCCTTTCCAGCACTTGGATTTCAAAAAACATAAATTTGTTGGTTTTTCTTCAGGTTCTGGGATCCTGGTCCAGCAGCCGACCCATTTAATGACATGCGTTACATCTGGGGCGGCTTCGTGTACGTCCAGGACCTGGTGGAGAGAGCTGTGAGCCACGTCCTGACCGGAGTTAAACAAACAACCGGCATCTACATCCAGCAGATGCCCTACCCCTGCTACGTAGATGATGTGTATGTTGCTATAAATCGATGTTTTCCTAAATTACGTGCACAGTTCCACGTGTTCATGCTGGAAACAGACCAGTACAGCCTTAATCTGCTACTGAGCAACTTGTGTGGAGCAGCTGGTGGTTCAGTGCCTTGCTCAAAGACACCTCAATGGTAGCTGTTAAAGGGACTCTTACAGTCTACATTTTGTTTCTAGACTTGAATTGACAGCCACACTTCTCTGAACTATAATGTTCACTGAAACTTAGTTAGAAAACAGAATAAGTATTTTAATTATTAAAAATGTTCCCATATATTGAATAATGTTTACGTCTGCTTTACACATTACATTACATTTACATTATTTTGCATTAGCACATGATAATAATTTCAGTTTCGTTTACCTTTTTTTACAACAGTTTCCTTCGAGTGCTGAATCGCTCTCTGCCACTCTTCATGACGCTGGCCTGGATCTACTCGGTGGCCATGATCATCAAAGGCGTGGTGTACGAGAAGGAGGCGAGGCTGAAGGAAACCATGAGGATTATGGGTTTGGGAACAGGAACGCTGTGGCTCAGCTGGTTCATCAGCAGCATTGTTCCTTTCCTGGTCTCTGCTGGACTCCTCATTGCTCTACTCAAGGCAAGATGGCCTCTAACTCTATACAAAATACATTAAATAAGAAATACACACTCAGATACTAGATAGCGGTCTGGCCGTGATCAGGAAATTAAATGTAGAGCTGTAAATAAAATATATTGATAAGAAGACTGATATTAAAGTAGAATACTGTGAGTTTTTATTATAGCTTATTGTCATGAAGCTGATGTAAAGATTTCACGTGTCTCCTTTAGACATTGTTTAACCTCCTCCTCCTACTTATTTCCAGTGGGGGGACATCTTGCCATACAGCAACCCCTCTGTTGTATTTTTCTTCCTGACGGCGTTTGCCACCGCCACCATCATGCAGTGTTTCCTCATCAGCACCTTCTTCTCCAAGGCCAACCTGGCATCTGCATGTGGGGGGCTCATATACTTTGGCCTCTACCTGCCCTACGTGCTGTGTGTGGCCTGGAGAGACCGCCTCAACACCAAACACAGGGTTTTCGCTGTGAGTCAAATAATAACGGGTTCAATCAGGTTGTTTCTTTCCCCAATTCCACGTACACAGCTCTATAAAAAAGATGGCACAGAAAATGAATCAGTAACAAGAATAAATGTCAACATTGAATCAGAAAATGTGCCATTAAATTAAAGATTAAAAATAGTTGTTTCCTTTTTCCTCAGAGTTTCCTCTCCCCGGTGGCCTTTGGCTTTGGCTGTGAGTATTTCTCTCAGTATGAAGAGCAAGGTGTGGGCATCCAGTGGAACAACCTCCACTCCAGCCCCGTAGAAGGAGACACATACAACTTCACTACCTCTATCGTCATGCTTTATGTGGACGCCTTCATCTACGCTGTCTCAGCCTGGTACATCGAAGCAGTGTTTCCTGGTATGTGTGTAATTTATTTTGTGTTGATTTCGGATTAGGGGGTTTGGATTAAGATGAACACAGTGTCTCGTCTGTGACTAACAAACAAACTTTTGGTGTGATCCCTTTTAAAATTGTGTCAGACTTTAAGTTTTAGTTAAAGTTTTCAGAGACAGGACTAGAGATATCAGTTTGAAGATAACAATTTAAATTTTTTTTACCATCTTAAAAAAGTCAAAATAAAACTCAGTCAATCGATCAATATTTTAGTTTGCTGAGGATTCCGGTTTGCTGCCATTCCTTTATTGATAAAGGTATATTTCTTCCGTAGTAGTTTTGGCTTAGTGCTTTGCTGAAAACAGCTTTACAAGAGGAATGCCGTGTGGTCAAACAAATGCTGGTTAAACTGGTTCCTTTGTCAAAAACGAAACACAAAAAATGTTTGGTGCTTGCTTTGAATTCAGTTTTATCATGAGCGTCATGTGTATGCGTGTGTGTTATTACACCAGGTGAATATGGGATCCCCAGGCCCTGGTACTTCATCTTCCAACTGAACTTCTGGAGTGGTATTCCCCTGGAGGCAGGCATACCAATCCCCCCAGTGCCTACAGAAGAGGATGAAGGTAAAACACTTGTTTTTTGCCAAAGTCATCCAAAAGTAAAATCACAGTTACAGTTTTCTGTATTTAAACATTATTTACAAGCAGTGTTGTAAATAGATGTCACATCATTTATTGGACAGTTTCAATAGTGTGTCATTCTGCCCAGTTACACACTTTGGCAGCCCTCTGCAGTCTGCTCCTCTTGTCTTAGGATCTGTTCAAAGACCATACAAGTAGTTTTGTATGTGTAAGCCAGTTAACTACAAATCAAGTTAAAGAGCTGAGACAATAAACCCATTAACTTCAAGGTTTAAGAACACAAGGAGATTGTATCACATCGTAACTTCCCAGTTACTGTATATTGTTCCCTCTAAATATATAAAATTCTGTCATCAGATCACATTGAACCAGAACCCACTAACCTGACCCTGGGCGTGAGCATCATAAACCTGGTGAAAATCTACAAGAAGGGAGCCAAACTGGCCATCAATCACCTCAACCTCAAGTTCTACGAGGGGCAGATCACCTCTTTCCTCGGCCACAATGGAGCTGGCAAAACCACAACCATGTAAGGAGCAGACCTGACGAGGGAAAGACAATCACTATCAGCACTGATGTGTTCGTTAACTATATGTATAAAGATATAAATTTAGATTAAATTTTTTTTTTACAAGAATTTGATTCAGAATTAATCACTTTGGTTAAGTAAAACTGGGGATGAAGTTAAAGAGCTAGCATGTTTTTAGTGTTTGAGCGATTTACTGAATATGATGACTAAGATGATGTAGTTCCTCAGCCAGCAGCAGCATTAGTATCTTATTTAAAGGTGTGTTTTAAATAATGTATTTATTCTAATGTGTCTGATCTGTCAGATCGGTCCTGACTGGCCTATTTCCACCCACTTCGGGCACTGTATATATAAAGGGGATGGACATCCGCTATGACATGGACATCATCCGGAGGACGCTGGGAGTTTGTCCACAACACAATGTCCTGTTTGACATGTAAGGCTCATCTTTCCAACACAGAAACAGCTGTCAGTGCGTATTGTTTCTGACTTACTGTGGTTAAGTTTGACGGTTTTCAGAAATTCTTGAATTCCTCCACAAGCATCTTTTTTTGCGGTTACTGGCAATTTCATTAGTCACATTATCTGATAGTAGTACTATCTTCTTTCACCAGGAAATACCCAGGAGTAGATTGGTTTTAAACAGATTTTCTTTCTGTGTGTGTATATCTCTCTCTCTCAGACTAACAGTGGAGGAGCATGTGTGGTTTTATGGGTGTCTGAAAGGTTTGTCTGAAGAAGAGGTGAAAGCTGAGATGGACACTCTCCTGGACGACGTGGGGCTGCTGCACAAACGACACGAACAGACCAAAAACCTCTCTGGTAAACTTCTTCACTAAAACATGACCTCATTAATTCAAAGAACCACTGTAGATATTGTTGGAGGGTTGTGGCAACTTTGTCCTGAAAGATAAAGATTATTTCTGTTCCCCCTCTGTCCCTCTGTCTGTCTGTCAGGTGGCATGCAGAGGAAGCTGTCTGTGGCAATAGCGTTTGTTGGAGGCTCTAAAGTGGTTGTTCTGGATGAACCTACAGCCGGGGTTGATCCTTACTCCCGCAGAGGGATCTGGGATCTGCTGCTCAAATACCGCAAAGGTACAGGACAAGAGGGTGCTGTGGAGATGTGGACCTCCATTGTTTCTTCTGAGTGGGTGGGGATGAGAGGAAACCACATTTTAAAGGGCCATGAGCCTAAAAGATACTGCTGTAAATGTGTGTAACAACCATGTAGCTTTATTTGTCTTTACTTGAATTAAAAGATCACATAACATCACACAAGAGCATGTGGTAATAAAAATATATAGTATAGTGTTCCTGATTCACTAGCTCTAATCTAGAGACTGATGGACAGAACCTGAAGAAAACCTCAAGATGACAGGACCTACATGAGACATACAAAGACATATGCAGACGACAAGTAAAAGAAATAGTAAATACGCGTTTGTGCTGTCTTTCTCCATCAGACCGGACCATCATCCTGTCCACCCACTACATGGACGAGGCGGAGCTGCTAGGTGACCGGATCGCCATCATCTCCCAGGGGAAGCTGTGCTGCTGTGGCTCGCCGCTCTTCCTGAAATCCAACCTTGGATCTGGCTACTACCTCACTGTGGTGAAGAGGGAGGGACTGGACACCAGCACTCCCAGCAGTACCAGTATCTGCACCAGTACCAGCATCAGTACCAACAAGCTGCCTCCTCTCAAGGTTTGTAGGGGTTTTTACTCTGAATTTCATATTCACACTGTTACATTCATTACATTTCTTAAAAGGACAAATAGTTGAGTGTTGATCTACAGATTGTAGATGAAGAAAGCTTGAAAATCCACCTTGGTGAACAGTTAGCTACCAACATGTGACACCATCATATTTGTCACTGTAGCCTCCCTCTGTAAATATTAAGAACTTCTCTTTGTGTTTCAGGACAGTGAGTCATCCATGAGTGAAGACACCGGGCTGGGAAGTGAGGAGAGCAGCTCATGTGAGTGATTAACTGTTGTATGACCTCCACAGTAAGCTGAGTTGGTTCATGAAAGAACAAAAGGACATCCAGGTTAAAGGTCTCACTCACCGCATGATCTCTCCCCTTTTTATCGTCTTCACGGCAGACCTGGCAGCGTTGCTCTCCCTGGCACAGCTTTACATCCCGGGTGCGAGGTTGGTGGAGGATTCAGGGCGCGAGGCGGTGGTCAACCTGCCTCAGACGGCTGCCAAGGACAGCAGCCTCGGCATCTTCCTGTCCGAACTGGACCAGAAGCTGCCCGAGCTGGGCATCAGCAGCTACGGACTGTCAGACAGCACACTGGAGGAGGTGAGACATCACATTGCTTTTGATCGGTAAATAAATAAAAAAAAATTAAAATCCCCTAGCACAAAAGCCAAAGCTTAATTTCACACAGTGTTCAACTAAAAAGACAGAAAAAAATATAAAATGATTGTATATAAAAACTCAGTCATAGGTACTTGCAGATGACTGATACAGCCAGCTAGACACACTTATAAACTACAACCAATAAAGGTTGGCAGCTGTTGGCTTTTAAAGTTTTTACTTGAAGCAATTGTGAAACTGTGAAACTATAAACAGATAACATTTATTTTAAAAAGTAATGTTAAATTAGTTGAGTAACAAACTAGATTCACAAAAATAAAGCTTGCATGTCCCTCATGGCTAGAAGAAACAAAGCGTCATCAGAGAAAGATCAACAATTAAGTAGGCTACCTGTAGGAAGAGCAACACAGTAATCAATATAGTAAACATACACAAAGAGTCCACAAGAGAAAAAGTGAAAAGAGTAAATAAAATACAATTAATTTACAGTAAATTCACAAATACTTAGAATCTTGTGTTATCAACATGTTAGCTTCAGACGGCTAGTGGCTAGTTTGGTTTGCACTAAACTGAACACAGAAAAACAAATCATAAAATAGATCAAATAAAGGAGTACCTACAGATAATACTGCTACAGGGGCAATTGTGGAGTAGATTAAAGATGCTTGTCAGTGTTCATCAGATCTGGCAAAATGATGGCTGTAACAATGTCAGTTAAGCTTCCATAGGTGTGTGTGTCTGTGTGTGTCTGTGTGTGTCTGTGTGTGTGTGTGTGTGTGTGTGTGTGTGTGTCTGTGTGTGTCTGTGTGTGTGTGTGTGTGTGTGTGTGTGTGTGTGTGTGTGTGTGTGTGTGTGTGTGTGTGTGTGTGTGTGTGTGTGTGTGTGTGTGTGTGTGTGTGTGTGTAAATCACCATCTCACATTAGTGCGGCATTAGTCGTCCCACCAGTAGTGTGATCTAAAGAAGCTCAACCAGGTCCTGTGAGGAGGGCTGGATATTTGTGGAGCAGCCATGGTCTTAATGGGTTTAATGTTGGCATCAGATTACCCTGAGAGTGGACTTTACCTTTACTCATAAGCCACTCACTCTCTGCTCTTCTTACCTCTGTGTAAAGCTACTGGATGCTTTTTTACTGCCACCTGCAGCCTGAAGACAATTTTCTGGGCAGTTCTTAAAGAGCATCATGTGCACGTTGAGACCTTGTAGATTCACCCTGTTGGTCACACATTGAGTTCTCCCCCTACAGGAAGCGAGTGGGGTTGTAAGAAGAAGTTTAATCTTTTATCATCACCATTCTGTTCATTTCCAGATCTTCTTACGAGTGGCGGAGGAAACCGGCGTGGACGTTGAACCAGAGCAGCAGGTTGAATCTCCTCACAGGCAACAGCCATCCGCTGGTCCGAGGGCAGAAACACAACACACTGAAGAACCAGAGACAGGTGTGCACGCTCACACTCGCAGACACATAGATGTGTGTGTGTACGTACCACACAGTGTTTCCATGTGCAGCCAGTCTGCTGTTTCATCTCCAACTGTGAATGTTTGTTTCCATAATGCTGCCAGGAAGGAAAAGGCTTCGTAAGCAAGGTACCGAAACCTACCTTTGGTTAGAAAGTGCTTTTATCCCCCCCCCCCCTCCAGTTTAGTTACATAGCATTGACCTTCAGTCTCTTCTTCACTCTCCTTTTACTGTTGCAGTTAACAAATAGGGAGGATTTAACTAATTATCAATTAATGAAAGCTCATACAAACCAAGATTTCTGTACTGAATTTGGTTGTTTTTAATATCTTTTAGATGTATTAAGTTTTTCCCAAGAATCTTAAAGGCCCTGAAAAAGCATTACGACCATAATGGGATATAAACTCAAAACCAGACAAAGATCTTTTAGTATCTGTTCAAGCCAGATTGCGGCACCACAGATAGTCAGTAGTAGTAGTAAGGAAACTGTGCTACATAAAAAAAACATATTAATAGAAACACAACAATCCAATGTGTGAGTCAGTTGTCATGTCTGTCAAGATCTGATGAGTCTCCATCATATCAAAGGTGTACAGCAGTCTATGTGTTTATCAGCCCAGTATATCAGTGTAACCCAGTGTTTCTCCTGCTTGCAGAACCTCGGGAGACAGACCTGCTGAGTGGAGATGGACGAGGTGGGGTCCCCCTGACCGGCTGGTGGCTGACCTGGCAGCAGCTGAGGGCTCTCTTCATCAAACGCTGGCTTTACGCTCGAAGGAGCCGCCGGGGTTTCTTCGCTCAGGTGATGACAAACATCAGCAGCTGCTGTTAGAGAGCTGGATTCAAAGAGCACCCGTCATCATAAGGTTCAGGGTTTCCATCATGACAACAAGACAGATAGACTTCTTAATTTATGGTGTTTCTATTGTGAATTAGCTGTTCGTCATTGTTGAGAATACATAGTTCTATGTGTAAAATTTGTGCTTCAGATTGTCCTGCCTGCTGTGTTCGTGCTGGTCGCTCTGCTCTTCAGCCTCATCGTGCCTCCGTTTGGGAAGTATCCCGCGCTGCAGCTGCAGCCCTGGATGTACGGAGAACAGTACACCTTCTTCAGGTAGGCCGGCACACAAATATTCTTTAATCCGTTTCTTCTGCCGTGAATTAGTTTGGTCTCTTTCGTTTTCTTCACTTAATGCCGTGTTATTGTCACATTGATGAGCTTCCTCACATCTGATTCTTTATTTACAGCAACGATGCACCTGGGAACCCGGCCATGGAGAACCTGCTGGAAGCTCTGCTGGATCAGCCAGGTTTTGGTACCAAGTGCATTGAGAAAGAGGATGAAGACAACAGCACGTAAGTCAAATCCTGTGAATACAATCAATTTGTCTTAGCAGCATCAGAAGAAGAAGAAATCTGAGACATCAGGATCTTATTGTACAAAGAGACACTGAAAAACATATGACAGAGGACAGAAAATCAATGTGCTTTCACTCCATGTTCTCCCTGCAGGAGTCCTCAGTGTGAAAGCGATCGGGGTGGCCTGTTCATGCGGCCACAGGTCTCCTACTCCACCTGGCAAATGTTCAAAAGAGGCAACTGGAGCATAGACAGTCCCTCCCCTGATTGTCAGTGTAGCACAGAGGATGTCCGCCGGATGCTCCCCGACTGCCCGCAGGGTGCCGGTGGACTGCCGCCTCCACAGGTCAGGAGTGACGTGTTTGCAGAATGCCAGTGCACCTTGAAATTACCTTCATCTCTGTTAATTTAAAATGAATCAAAGTGATATTTTACGTCATATTTTATTTGTTATCTTTCAGATTAAAAGGCTGACTGGAGACATCCTCCAAAATCTGACAAGTTATAACATCTCTGATTACCTGATAAAAACCTACTCTCAGATCCTCAAGAAAAGGTAATTCATTAAACATATAATATATAAACATACAATAACATGCATTACTACTTTGTATTTGATTTAATTATGTAAATTTTATTCACTTGTTTGTTTTTGGTTTTGATGTAGATTACTGGGGATACAATTTTAAAAGGTTTAAAATTACACAACTATTGCTTTATCTTCCTGTGGTGTTTTGAAATTGACCCAAGTTTATTTGGTAAAATCAACTTATTATTAATTATTAATCTCAGAATAATTATTAATACCATAATGATATTTTTTAAAACATAAACTCTTTATTTGTAGCCTCCATATGACTCTTAACCGTATTAGTTTTATATTGAAGCGGTAAATAGCATAGATTTATTTTTAGGGGGTGAAGTTCAATATCTGTTTTCATTATCAATAATTTCATTACATTCATTTCATTATAACACTGATTTTAATGTCGAAGATTAATAAGTCCTGTATTTCCTTATTCCTAACACATTCATTCTTTTCCTTCTGTTTCATTAACAGCCTAAAAACCAAAAAGTGGGTGAATGAATTCAGGTAAGCTGCTGCTAGAAAACATAATTTTGGAAGCAACGTATCTGCAAGGACGGACTGACAAGAAACTAAATGTTGTATATTGTAAATTCCCAAAAGTTTAATTTCTGTGTTGCAGATATGGAGGTTTCTCCCTCGGGGGCAGAGCCACCCAGACTTTATCTCAGGCCGACCATGTCCATGATTCGATCTTTGCTATCAGGACTCGTTATCGAATTCCACAGGTATAAACAAGGTTTGAGTCAGGTTTAATTTAAACTGCCGTTTTTCCTGTATGTTGTTAATGTTTTCTGATGATATTTGATTCACTACAGAACAGCTCACTGGATCATCTGCTGAACAGACTGCCGGATTTTCTAGGAGGACTGAACAGTCAGGACAATGTCAAGGTAAATGTGTGTCTGTTTATCTGTTTTCTCTCTTTATTTTGTCTTTAAAGGTCAAAACTAACTGAAAACACTTTAATTAATTAAAGACACATACAATAAGTAAAGTGTTTTGTGTGTCTGGCTCTGTGTCGCTGTTTGTTCGATATTTTCTGTCTCAACATCTTGGCAAACGAAACCAATTGGACTGTTTGTCCAGGATTTTCTCACAGCTACAATAGATGGTTTTATAGTGAAAAATGTTTCTCTTTATTTTACTCAGGTTTGGTACAATAACAAAGGGTGGCATGCCATGGTGTCATTTGTCAACGTGATGAACAACGGCCTGCTGAGAGCGAGTCTGCCACCAGGTCCAGAGAGGAGAATACACGGCATCACTGCCTACAACCACCCACTCAACCTTACCAAGGAACAGCTCAGTGAAATGGCCATGTTAGTTCACTCATGTGCAGTTTTTATGTTTTATTTGTACATCACCAAACCCTAACTGTAAGATTTATGAAAGAGGAACGTCTTTAATCATACATTAAATTCAGATTTGGTTTCTTAAACCTAAGACATAAATTCCGTGTAGTCAGGACACTTTACATGAGATTATCATCTGAAGTCGCTGCCTGGATTTTGACATTAAAAGGCTACAATAAAAAGTAAATTTTCATACCAACATGAGTGGAAACCAGCGGCTGTCTGGAAGGTAAAACAATGCCTACAGTTTGTCTGCAGTAACCTAACACTTATATGAGATGCAAAGTAAATATTAGTCAGGAATTGTTGATTTACACATTCCAGAAATCAGCAGAAAAGGCATTAATTTATTAATTAAATAACAGGAGTTACAAACAAAAGGACAAAGTGTGAGTTGTAAAATTCATGGGTCCACAATGTCTTGTGTTTGTTAAAATGGGTTTTTCTGTAGCTGACCTGTGTTTTTCCCGGCTTCCTCTTTCAGGATGACCACATCAGTGGATGTTCTGGTTTCCATCTGCGTGATCTTTGCCATGTCTTTTGTGCCAGCCAGCTTCGTCCTTTTTCTGATTGAGGAGCGAGTGAGCAAAGCCAAACACCTTCAGTTTGTCAGCGGAGTCAAACCGATCCTCTACTGGTTGGCCAACTTCACCTGGGACATGGTCAGCACTCCATCAGTCCCACACTTGTCATATTGTGAAGTTTTCACAATATGACAACAATCTCTAATTGAAATAAGTAATTTCTTATAACATTTGATGGGATTTCTTCTTAGGGGTAAATGTTCTAGTGTTGCAACAGAGAAGAGCCCAACACTTAAATTCTGTCTGTCGTTGTAATTCCTGCAGTTTACCACTTGAGGTTGACAAGAGCCACAGAGTATGAGTTGTTTCTTCAACAGAACATGAGCCTTCCACCCACATTATATTCAGATCAAATCAGACCAGATCAGTCGTTCTGTAAATATAATAAAATATTACATAATGTACTTTATCTAATTCAAATTCCAAACAGTAATTTATAGCCTACTTCAGGCTGAGTTGGTTCTATTATGAATGAATGAAACACTGTATTGTTTGTCATGAGGACCTTGTACAAAAATGAATGCTGTGTTTGGACAGACAACAGCACTGCATGAAGAAAACACAATCTCCTCATTTGCTGCAACGCAACATCATCTTCAACAGCATTTTCTCAATGCTGGGGTTTTTGTTTTGGTCTGAACTGATAACTGAAGAAGTTTAACAATAAGGAAGCCATGCTGTAGTCAGCTTAATAACATAATAACCTAATCTAATAGACGGCCCTGTGTTTGTCTTCAAGTGAAGCTCTGTGAGGCCTTTCGTGTATGAGGTCTATAAGAGCTCAACCTAGTTCTCCAGTCAATCATCTGCATTAATGTAATATTTACTGGATGAACTGTTTTTGTAGTGGACATAAAAGAAAGACTTTGTGTTGTGATCTTCTCAGTTGAACTACACCGTCCCGGCCACCATGGTGGTGCTGATCTTCATCTGTTTCCAGCAGCAGTCGTACGTCTCGGAGACCAACCTGCCGGCTCTCATCCTGCTGCTCCTGCTCTATGGGTACGTTCACACAGGCTTCGATGAAATAATGCATCATCAAATGTGAACAGAGTTACTCATGTCATAGATAAACAGTTTCTTTATATATGTGTGTCTCATTATTTTAATCTAATTGTCTCATTTATTCACTAAAGATAATGCTTACAAGCGTTAAATTGGGTTAAATTTCACATCGTGTGCACTTGAATCATAATTTTGATCTTCCATTGATCTTTTTACTCTCTACGTAACTACAAATACAGAAACGTTTAGTTTTTGTAATCTTTAAATTATCTCAGGATGATTTCTATTATGGAATTGAATAAACCCCATAAGCCAAAATAAAGGTTTAAATACCTTATAACACACATATCTCTCTGTCAGAGTAAGATGATCGTTTAAAAGTAACGTATCTGTTTTTACTAATCAAATAACATCATCATCTTTTTCAGGTGGTCCATCACCCCTTTAATGTACCCAGCATCCTTTGTGTTCAGCGTCCCCAGCACAGCTTATGTCGTTCTGACCTCCATCAACCTCTTCATCGGCATCAACGGCAGCATCGCCACCTTCGTCCTGGAGCTGTTTGTAGACGAGGTACCAACAGCACCAGCCTGTACAGGCAACAACAAGACATAAGGCCCAGATAAGCATAAACATTAAACTATACAGCAGCTTCATCAGAGAGAGCTTGAATTTAATCATATCTTAACTTAAAAGGTTTAGAAATAACTAATTTATTATAGAAGTGAGGTAGAAAAGCCAGAAGTCTTAATACATTGAGCAGTTATTGCTGAGTTATTCTGTGCAATGTGACATCATTTAGTGCTCATTTAACTAGTTCATGATTTATTTACAGCATCTGAACGAGGTGAACAGGATTCTGAAGAAGGTGTTTCTCATCTTCCCTCATTTCTGCCTGGGACGAGGACTCATCGACATGGCCAAAAACCAGGCCATGGCCGACGCTTTCCAGAGACTGGGTACTTTTATATCTGCCTCTAAGTAGATCTATTAAAAAAAATCAACGCTTTGAATTATTTTGCTCCAGGAAACTGTAAACTGCCTGAATATTGTGTTTATTATCCAGGGGAGATTTTGGTTACCACCCTATAGGACATTATAGAAACAAGACTTAAAACACTTAAACTGCGTGTTAAACTGCAACAAACACACTTTTTATTTAAGATATTTAAAGATAAATGTATTTAAAGAATGTCTGTGTATATCATTCTTCCTCCTCAGGCACAAAACAGACTCTGGACCCTCTTCAGTGGGACTTTGTTGGGAAGAACCTGTTTGCGATGGCGGCTGAAGGTGTTATCTTCTTCATCTTCACCATACTGCTGCAGTACAAGTTCTTTATTCGCTTCAGGTATGTTTAAAACAACTCTCAGTGGATGGAAGACACCTTTCCACTTTTCCTATTATTCACCCCAGCACTTCTCCACTTCATCCCCTTACATCCCCCTCTTCTAAAAGCTGATTAGACTAGATTACACTGCTCCACATGAGTAAAACTAAATGACACAGGGTGATCTTGTATCCCTCCATTCAGGCCGTGGTGGGTCGAGGCTGAGATGCCTCCTCTGGGTCCAGAGGATGAGGACGTTGCCAGGGAGAGAGAGAGGGTCATAAATGGCAAAGCTCAATCGGACATCCTCACCGTGATCAACCTGAGCAAGGTACAACCGGCACTCAAAGGCTAAACAGTGAAACTGAGCCTGTTTTAGTTGTGGTCTTTGCATTCAGTCGACATGAAGAGTCCTGTTTGTGTATTTTTGTTAGAATTACTGAAATTACTGAGAACTAGTGAGTAAATTGTCACATCTTCCTTCAACCACACATGCAGTTAGCGTCTTCAGTCACAGTGATGAGCTCAATCTTTGGCAAACCTCTCCTATCGTCATTGAGAATTCCTGGTTGATTGTATAACAAAGGACTTTTTGTTTTGCAGGTTTATAAAGCGGGCAGGAAGCCGGCAGTGGATCGTCTCTGCCTCGGGATTCCTCGTGGTGAGGTGAGAAACACATACACACAAACACTAAAGGCAGCACTCATTACATCTACAGCCACTGTAGATACTGTCGTCATCAGAAACCATTGTCATTTATAAATATGAGTTATAGATAGATAAATAAATACATACAGTTTACTTACTTAAATCTGTTCCTGTTACTGTTACTAATATTGCAATTGCTCTTATAAATCTATCACTGCTACAGCTGCTCATACTACAACCACATCTATAGAAGTTTCTGCTGCTGCTGCTGCTGCTGCTTTAGATTAAAGCAGCTGTTATATATTTGAGTACATAATGTCACAGAGTCTCCAGGGAACTGTCCCAGTGGTGGACTACAGCTGCTGCATGTGTAGATAAATTTGTAACTCCATGTTGTACTGTGTGTGTCCTCCAGTGTTTCGGCCTGCTGGGGGTGAACGGAGCGGGGAAGACCTCAACCTTTCGCATGCTGACTGGAGACACAGCGATCACCTACGGAGATGCTTTCCTTAATCACCACAGGTACAAACCTTCTCCACCACCCAGTTATTCAACTTTTATAATAATAGTTTCTTCTTTTTGGGCAGAAAAAACTATTGTATTTGTTTGTATACAGTATCCCTAAACTTTAAAATAAGCTACAATAGCAGAAATTGTAGTCATAACTGTAGTATTAGTTGTAGAAAGGGAGCCAGTTATAGAGCAACAGTAGTAGAAGTACCAGTAATTGTAGTAGTAATAGTTGCAACAGTTGTAGAAATGGCAGAAACAGTAGCACTAGTAGTAGTAGTAGTAGTAGTCGTCGTCGTCGTCGTCGTCGTCGTACTGGTGGTCATAAAAGTAGAGGGATTAGTCTTAGTAAAGACAGTAGTTGTTGAAGGACTAGTAGTAGGCCGCCGTAGGTGTACTATTCGCATACTAGTATTAGTACTAAAGTGGTAGTACCATTAAGAAACATAGTAAACATTTGAGATGTTTTTAAGTACTACAGTTTGTATTTATTCTCCTCTTATTATTTTACTTTGTTCTCTGTTTAGATCAGTATTGTTGGAAAATGTTAAATACAGAACAATTGCCCCCTTTATTTACTCTCTCTGTATATCAGTTATCATTATAAAGAAATATATTAACATTAGCAATAGTACAGCAGTGGTACCAGTACAGTAAGTAAAGAAGCAGCAGCAGTGATACTATCAGTAGTTCTAGTAGTAACAGTGTTCGTACTGCAGTGGTCTGAAACTGTGTTTCTGTGGTTCTCAGTGTGCTGACAGAGATGGAGCGAGTCCACCAGCTGATGGGATACTGTCCACAGTTTGACGCCATCAGCGACCTGTTGACGGGTCGAGAACATCTGGAGCTGTACGCCCGCCTGCGGGGGGTTCAAGAGGAGTCCGTTGCCAGGGTAACATAGAGGAGCAGTTCAGCACAAATCTGAAATTAAGTTGCTGAGTCATGTGATATCTGAAGACAAGGTGCAGGATTATACAGTAATGTACCTTCTCTGCTGTCCTGTAGGTGGCGCAGTGGGGGGTGAAGAAGCTGGGACTGACCCAGTATGCTGAGCGGGAGGCAGGAGGCTACAGCGGAGGCAACAAAAGAAAACTCTCCACTGCCATCTCCCTCATCGGCGCTCCGCCGGTTATATTCCTGGTGAGAATCAAACCGACTCGAGAGCAGCCGAAGAGCAGCCCTTTTATAATATCACCTGTTAAATTCTATATGAGTTGGTTAATACGGAGAAATGCCTCTGAATTTACATTTATATTGGAACACGTGGATATATCTACATATTGCTCATAACAACCTTTACATGCAGCCAACAAAATTTTACACACAGACTTCTGTTTCTAGTTGATGTGCTTAGTTAGTAGCTTAATTGTTGCCACTACAGAAATATCTGTATCTGTTGTTTCCTTTGATTCCTTGAATTCTTGTTAGGATGAGCCCACCACCGGCATGGACCCGAAAGCCAAAAGGTTTCTGTGGAACTGCATCCTCAGTGTCACCAAAGAGGGACGAGCTGTAGTTCTCACCTCCCACAGGTAGGAGGAGTTGTACACTAAATTATTGTTACATGGCTCTTATGGTCAAGACACACTAGCATGATGACCTTTAGTGCGTACACTGTGTCTGTGTTAACGGTTTTATCTTGTGTCTGTATGGTCAGTATGGAGGAATGTGAGGCTCTCTGCACCCGAATGGCCATCATGGTCAACGGCAGATTCCAGTGTCTTGGCTCTGTACAGCACCTGAAGAACAGGTAAACACACTTTACCATCTTAATTGGTTTTCAGAGTTCCCACACGTCCTGGAAAACCTGGAAATTTAGAGACTAGTTTTCCAGTCATGAAAACACCTGGAAATTAATTAAAATTACCAAATATCCTGGAAATAATGGCTTTTTTTGTGGGTTTTATCCCCTTACTCAGATATATAAACCTAAGTGCGTTTTTAGTTTTAAACGCGACTGTTGGTGAGATAAACAAACACTTTAAAGCAGGTTCACAAGATGCAAAGAGGAACTGATTTGCAGTCATTTTTTCGGCATTGACTCTATTTTGTCCAGACCTGTGAGCAAAAACATTTTGTTGCTGTGGTTGATAAATACATGTACAGGGATGTTAATTGTACATCCAATGGACACTTTAACTTTCTAGTTGCTGTGACCACTTTAATGTAGTCAGTTTGCCTGAAACCACATCTTATACGACCTGACTAAAAACAGTGGGAAACCTGGGTTTTACATATTCTGTCTAACCTTAACAATACAACTAAAACACAATCTATATGTCAGTATCTTTACCCCTCCTCAAAACTCAGTTACTAAATTAACGCTGAGCTTTTTAAAACCAAAGTGTGCTTCCTGAATTCAAAATTAATTGCCCCCACGGAGATCTATGAAGAACCCTCTGTGTGCTGATATTCGTGGGGAATTTACTGTCTCACTAACACAGCTGACTGAGTCACTTGATGAGGTTTACAGTCACAAGACGACTGAAAAACAGAGGTCAGAGGTCTGAAAGGTTATTAATTTGGGAAATCATCAAAGAGAGTTTTCAAGGTTGTGTTTATGTTTATCTCAGCAGAGTTTCTCAATAGCCATTGAAACTATATTAATTAATACACAGAATGATACACTGATTCCCATATTGAACTGGTTAAAGAGCCCTGTGAGTGTAAGCTGCTCACAGTTTAAGGCATGGTCTACAGTGAATAGAGAACAAAATGGAGGATATGTGGAGTGTCTTTTAAACTTAGACACTGATTTATTTTCACTTAAAACTGACTGGTGAGGTAATTTAAAGGTAATAGCACCTACATTAATCACAGTATCACTGTGCAGCTGTATGAATTATGGCTGTGGATATAATCTCCTGTGTACACAGGCTGTAGATCTACTGTATGTACCTGTGCAGTAAATCCTGTGGTATTGATCTTGTAGATCTTGTGTGCGTCATGTGTTTTTTTTTTTTAGAGCTGCACACAATAAATCCCAATAAACTTTACTGATGTGACATCGTGTATCGTCTCTCTCCGTTCTTCATCTTCCAGGTTTGGTGATGGTTACACCATCGTCCTCCGTCTGGTGGACAGTAAATCCAGCCCAGACTCGTGCCCCATCAGCACCTATATGAAGAGCTCTTTTCCCAGCGTGGAGCTGAAGGAGCGCCACCAGAACGTGCTGCAGTACCAGCTGCCCTCACACGCCTGCTGCCTGGCACGGGTCTTTGAAGTGCTGGCAAACAACCATGAGGAGCTGGGCATCATCGACTTCTCTGTTTCACAGACCACTCTGGACCAGGTGAGGACGATGAGGAAACTTGGGTGAAAGCATTCAAACCGCTCCTGTATCTGCAGACTTTGTTTTGTTTCCAACCGCAGATTACTGTGACATACTGTAGTAAACTGTTGTTTGTAGCTTTAGTCTCAACTATTGATTCTTGTACAGTTAACAGTGAATTAGTTGTTCGGTGATAAATATATATTAGTGTGTGTTATACAGGTATCCTCTTGACATTCAAACATTGAATCAGTGGTGACAAAGTAGAGCTGAGAGAAAAAGAGTATTAATAATCCCACCACATCACGCTAACCTACCCAAATATATATATCCTCACTCACATTATTCCATATAATAATAAAAATTAAAGAATGTGATGATATATATATTTAAACCAAAAAATACACAAGTTATGAAGGAACAACTTCCTGTAGGTAGCCGTCCAAACAGGAAGTGATGTCATATCTCCACATTGGTCTGCATGATTAACACAAAACACCAGGCAGGAGTTTTACATTCACCACGGAGGGTCTGTGCTAAATTGGGCACCAATCGGCCGCTAGGGGACACTTTAGTGGCCAAATTATGAAATATGCTCAATGCTCGTACTCTGTGCTGCAATCAATCTGTAACTTGGATCGTGGGTTTGACTTGACCAACAGGGCCAGAGGGCTTGGCCCCCGTTAATACCTGCTTGTAGGTCTAGTTTTATATAAATGTCATTCCGTAATTGAGTCCCAAACAGTCAACTACATATATATCTATACATTTGGTAAGAATGTCAATATTAACACCAGAATTGATGTGTTTCATCATATAATCAGTTTACAGCTCAACATGTTTAAGTGTGCAGTACCTCTATTAAAGAATGAATTATCGTGACACTAAAGCCGGTTCATCTTTGTAGGTGTTTGTCAACTTTGCCAAGGAGCAGACTGACGACGACGACTGCCTCACAGCGGTGGTCACCGACAGAACATCACAGACCAACCTGACTGCACTGACCACCAGGATTAATCCTCCCGCCATCCAACCGCAGCCGCCAGTCACACCCCCTCAGCCAAACAAGCCTCCACAGCAGCAGGGGAAAACATCTGACCGCAAACCGAAAGAGGGTAAAGCAAAAAAGGCAAAAGCAAGCACGGTCAAATCTAAAGATAACAGAGCTAATGGAGAAAAAAGCAGTAGTACGGCAATGACCAGAATACCTCAGGCAGACGAGACGAATCGGGCAAGCTGGAAGGGCAGCAGTGGGTCTAACAGCAGTGGCGGTGGAGGTCTGGGAGAATCCAGTAAATCCACTAGGTCCAAACACAAAGCGCAGAGCTCCAGTAAAGATCCATCTGCACTATTTATGGTCGACCGCAACACACAGGACAGCACACTGTGAAGTGGACCAGTGCAACACAAGTTGAAAGGACCAACTACAGTCAAAATCTCTTCATTAATCACGTTAGGTTCATCCGAATGTTGCTCAACGGTTGGCAGCGACCTCGATATGCAACTTGGAACAGTGGATAGTGGAAAAACATGGTGAAACTGACATCAAAGTTCAATAATTCAAGACCCTTATTTGTTCACAGAGGGGCAAATGAGAAACAGCCATTAAATTTCTAATCGTAAATCTATCTGAAGAAAGAACCAAAAGTTATTGCTTCCTAATACGGCTCTGGTGCCTTGTTCCCCTCGTCAACAGATCTGTAGCTTTATCTTACACTGTGTCTTCTCTTTATGCATCAATCTCATCACTCCAAAGTCATGGTTTATCTATCCTGAAAGAATATAATGCAAAGCTCAATGTAAAAAACAAGGGGTGGCGTTCCTCAGGGCTCAATCATTGGACCCCTCACAATCTTTATCTTGCAGAAAGCACTTTAAAAAAAATGCTGCAAACATTCAAACAGTAGCTGGAGTACATGTGTTACATGTAATTATTAAGATAATTTTATATATCAAAAAGCATTTGAGGGGTTGTTTATAAACACAGTACATTATCTCTTATGTGGAGAGAATTCTTACTGCGAGTTCATTTTTAAATACCTCTTAAATGTTTCATGATGAACTTTACAAGTGTTATTGTTTTGTAAATCAAGAATTTATTGTCTTTTATCTGTCAAAAAGGTTTTTGTTTTGTTTTGTTTTGTTATTTATTTTGTGTGTGTTGTCATTGTGTAGCAGTGTCACTGTCCAATCGAAGGGTATCACATATGGTGAGGAAAAAAATATTTTGCCTGGTATTTACTACTTATTTAGTCATTTTGGTTATTTAATAATAATAATTAATGAAGTCCTGTTTTAGTTTTTTAGCTCTTGAAAGCTTCCAGACACATAGGTGTTACAAATTATTCTACATTACACCAAACAGTTCAAATTCAATCAAAACAATTACAGCAGATTAAAGAATAAACATTAGCGTTCAGTCTGTACACACCAGACGCAACAACAATGCCTTCAGTCTGTGGGTGATTTTTTTATTTTATTAATTTATTTTCATAAACTCTGTATTTCTTTTTTTTTTTTCTATAAAAAAAATGACACAGCTGACTGAATGTATAAAGCAGGTTGTTATTGCACTGTAATGCAGTGTTCAAAAGAGTAATAGTATCTATAGGCATGAGACAAACAACAGTATCAGAAGAGTTTAATTCCAAAATGAAAACCGTTATAACATTAAACATTCATTTAAATGGTGGATTTCTCATTTTGGAAAAAAAGTCTATATTACTGAATGTACTTTTATTATGCTTGAAAAGTTCTACTTGAACATTAATTTACCTGTGCATCTACTATAAGATGTGTATATATATATATATTATATACTGAAAATATGCTAGTGTAGACAAAAAAAAAACGGGTATATGTCTGTTGTGAATGTTTCGTCCTGAAGGAAAATAAAACGATATGGTTTCCTGTATCATTTCTAAAAACACTGTGCTGTGTGTCATAAGTCCAGTTTGTTGTTTTCACTGCTGCGACGTCGAAGTCAGGAGGTTCTTCTTCGTCATCGTGAGGATGAGCGTTGGTTTAGGTCTGTTTACGTTGCTTCTACGCTCCGATGTTTCTGTTGCTTCGTTGCTAAAAGAAAAAAACAGTACAGTTTTCTTAACACTGAAGTCATTTATCTGCTGCTGTTGTTCTGACAAACACATTTTTAAATCTACATCGGGCTTCACAGTTCATCAAAGGTGTTGATGAAGATAAAACGTGTGACAAACAGCGTTATGATTAACTACTGTAGAGCTGCAGATATTCTCTGGTCTGAAAATATTGTTCTCCAGATTTAAGAAAACATGTTTTATTTTGTTACAGACCCCCAAAAAATGTCACATCATGATTTTAATATATTTTTTCACTGAAAATGAATATTTGGGATGTAAAAATGATCATTTCCACTGAATCACATCATAGTCACAATAATAATAAAAGTTATATCATTATCATATCGTGCAGCCTTGAATTTACACATGGTTACAAACAGTCTTCATGTGACTAATATTTTAAACATTAAATATCTTAAAGCGTTTATTGCCTAAGATGTACAAGGTCTTAGTGGTTTGTTTTAGTTAGAAAACTAGATATATTAGTTTCTTTTTAAGATTCCTTACTACTAATAAATGTTAGTTAAAGTTATTATAATAATAAAGATTTTCATCGTAGAACAGACACAATTGTTGACCCTATCTATTATATTATTTATTAGTTTCCTCTATATAGTTTTTATTGTTAGTGGCAGGGTCCGCCATTACCACACTGGTTTCAAATGGCTTACACACACACACACACACACACACAAGGGATGACGCTGCAACTGATGATGTAACCCTGATAATCTACTTTCTATATTCCCCTTTCATTCTGTAACCACAGCACAGTAAATCTAAACGTACATCTTGGTGTCGACCTGCTGCCCGACACTCTCCCCTCTCAAACGTTGTTCAAAGACAGCCGTGACACGTCTCCATGGTCCTTCGTCACCATCAGTCCTCTTCCTCCCCAGTTTCTTTGTGACCGTCTGCAGCAGAGCGTCCAGACTGCACAAGGAGATGTCAGGAAGAAGAAACTCAGCAGATCTCTGCAGCAGAAGAGAGGAGAGTCAGATAATGTATACGTACATTGTTTTATAACTATAATGTCGTCCTGTTTTAATGTGTTACTGTTTTATTGTAGCTGTAAAGTATTTGATAGTGGTGGAAAAGTAACCACAATGTTCTTCTTACAAGTAAAAGCTTTTATATTAACAGCAAAATGTACTTAATGTATGAAAAGTGATGATATTATTACAGATGTTGCTTTATCTGCAGTACAGGTAGTCGGATCAGACCCCTCAGAGGGTCCTAAGATAAATCTGAGGGGTCATGAGATGATTGATTGAAGAGGAAAGCATAAAAAACAAAGTTCTGTGACACAAATTTGTATTTTTTTGGTGAAATAGTGGGAGTGTCAAAGTTACTGAAATGAAAGTGTAGAGTAGAAATGTCTCTTTGGTAACAACTCCTAGACATCTAAAACATGATAAAGAGCCACAAGTCAAAAAGGTTTGGGAAACATTGGTCTAATATTTAATAATATATCAAGTTTTTTATGTGAAATAAATAATAATAAATAAATGTTGTGGAGTAAAAACTACTATATTTTGTATAGTAAGTATGTAAACGCGTACAGTTGTAGCTTAAAATAGAAATACTCCGTACAGTACGTGAGTAAATCTTCCTTTCAACCTCTGGTGTCTGAATATCTTCATAATTCTAATTTAATAAATTAAAATATTTTATTTATTTTTTACTGTTGTTTGTTAAGTTATTCTTCCTTTTCTTAATGCTTGTTGAAGTTTTTACAGTTCAAACGTTTAATTTTAGACCTTGTTTTAAAGACTAATGACTTTGCTACAATTTGCATCCTTTAACATTTGATAATAATAAAGATGTTAAAGATAATAACTGAAGTAAAGACCTTTGATGTCTCTGAGCGTCTGTAAGGTTACAACATATTGAATGTGTAGTTTGATATGTTCTTCCTCTTGTGTTGGACTGTGATATAATCCTTTCCCCTCTATTACAGGACAAAAGCTGAGCCAAACCAGATCTCTTCCCGGTTGCCAGTAAACGGACAATATAAACTAAACTTCCTTGATGTCCTTTAAACAGTTTTTTTGTAGTTCACTCACAGGTTTAGAGAACAGGGTGTTGTCCATCCAGGCCCTGCTGTCTGGTGCTTGTTCTGCTACTAACTCGTCGCCTCTGCAGCTTTTTACTGTAAAGTTTGAAGAGATGGCCCCGGTTTGCTCTGATGAACTGATGGGAGGAAGAGGTGTGAGACATCTCTTGGTCTTCTGACACTCAGGAGCAGGTTTAGGGTTTAAAGGCGGCAGCACAACCCGAGGAGTTGGTGGTAGTTTGGTGTCAGACGCTGCGTCCAAATCTAATCCTGAGTCAGAACCACATGGATCAAGTGTTTCTTCCACAGATGGGTCGTTATTGTTCCTGGTTTCTGGTCCCTTTTTACTCTTTTCCTCCTCTTTCCCCTCCTCTTCCTCCACAGGCTCCTTGGCTGCTGCCAAAACAGGCATTAGGTTGACACAAAGCCTCATTATGTTCCCTGATGTCTCACATGTGGTGAGACTTCTCCTGTTTGATGCGGTAGCTTTAATCTTCTCCTTTGACTTCACAGTTCTTATCCTGGGTACTGAGTCCTTTACGTCGCCCATGATCATAGGACAAGTGTCTGGTTCATGTTTTTGTAGTTTTACTGTCTTCTTTTCTTTCCACATTCCAAAATTTGTACAAAAACAGCTTTGAGAATCGTCTCTGATGTTGTCCAAACATCCCTCAAAAAGAAAAAAACAGCGTATTAAGATATTTAAAAAAGAGCTTTGTGTTCTGACAGACTCACTCTGTCTCTCTTACAGCAGCAGTGAGAGAAGCACAGGACAATTAGGCGACTGTGGTTGAACCTATTAAAGTGGCTGTTATGGTAACATGCACACAAACTTTTAATGAGTGGGAAAAGTCATTGTGAGCTCAGATTATAAAAGGAGGATAATGTTTGAGCTGAAACCACTCAAAGGTGATGGATTATAAAGATGATGGAGTTGGCAGTGGATTCATTATTTTGCAGGTTATGACAGGAATTGGTTTCATGAGCGGTGCCAGAGATTGTCTAATAGCAAGATGCATCACTCAGGTCAAGAAAAAACATGTATTATTAGTGGGGACATGTGAGTGTTTTAACTTCACTGCTTTGTTTCAGGACACACTTGGAAACCAGCTGAATATAGAAGAGCATTTAGTAGCTGAACAGTTAAACAGATATTTCTCTCAGCTGTTGATGAACAGAGCTAAATGTAGGTTATGTGATAATATGACTCTGTTTGTTTTGCCGCCTTAAAGTAATCAAAAAAGCAATTAAAGTAGCTTTAAATCCATAAATTAAAATGAATGGGACTTTGTGTTTTATACAATTGAACAAATAAGCTTTGGCAAACATTTGAACTACTACTATCTATGACTAAAAAATCTGAATATAAATGTCAAGATTGTCAACAGTTTGTTATGTAATAGCAATAAAATATGTTTTCTAGCGATTATATTGTGATAATATGACATTTCTTTTGTTTTTTGCTTGTTTTGCCACCTTAAAGTGATCAAATAAAATTAATTAAAGTAGCTTGAAATTCATAAATAAAGAATAAAAGTAGTTACAATGCATTGTAATTATAATGAAATTAAGATCCAATAAAGATCCAGTAAAACTCTGAAAATCCTACAAGAACTAAACATTTATTTCTATTTAAAGGTAAAAAAGTAAAAATTTGGATTTTTAGAAAAATAGATTTTATTCACACGAATTGATTAAAAAACAGATTTCCAATAATAGGACTTCTTACAGATTTCCTGTAGGATTTTATAGAAATGTATTTTACCGTATTTTACTGGAAAAGTTAAGCACATTATATCCAACTAAATATAGCTAATCAGAATCAGAAATACTTTATTGATCCACGGGGAGAAATGTGTGTGTTGCAGTTATATTACAATATCTAACCCAATATATAGAATATAAATGTGTTTATAGGTATATACATATAATGAGATAAAAAGAGCCTCTATACAAAGTAAATGTAAACAAATTTCACTTTATGTCACATTTTGTTTGCAGAAATTATAAATAATTACAAAGAATAATACTGTAATGATCCAAAGTGGAAACCTTTATATATTTATTATAATAGACAGAGTTATATATATTTATTATAATAGACAGAGTGATATAGATTTATTATAATAGACAGAGTGATATAGATGTATTATAATAGACAGAGTGATATATATTTATTATAATAGACAGAGTTGATATAGATGTATTATAATAGATCCAGAGTGATATATATTTATTATAATAGACAGAGTGATATAGATGTATTATAATAGACAGAGTGATATAGATGTATTATAATAGACAGAGTGATATATATTTATTATAATAGACAGAGTGATATAGATGTATTATAATAGACAGAGTGATATAGATGTATTATAATAGACAGAGTGATATAGATGTATTATAATAGACAGAGTGATATAGATGTATTATAATAGACAGAGTGATATAGATTTATTATAATAGACGGAGTGATATAGATTTATTATAATAGACAGAGTGATATAGATGTATTATAATAGACAGAGTGATATAGATATAATAGACAGAGTGATATAGATATAGTAGACAGAGTGATATAGATATAATAGACAGAGTGATATAGATATAATAGACAGAGTGATATAGATATAATAGACAGAGTGATATAGATATAGTAGACAGAGTGATATAGACAGAGTGATATAGATATAATAGACAGAGTGATATAGATATAGTAGACAGAGTGATATAGACAGAGTGATATAGATGTATTATAATAGACAGAGTGATATAGATGTATTATAATAGACAGAGTGATATAGATTTATTATAATAGACGGAGTGATATAGATTTATTATAATAGAGTGATATAGATTTATTATAATAGACAGAGGTATAGATATAGTAGACAGAGTGATATAGATATAGTAGACAGAGTGATATAGATATAATAGACAGAGTGATATAGACAGAGTGATATAGATATAATAGACAGAGTGATATAGATATAGTAGACAGAGTGATATAGATATAGTAGACAGAGTGATATAGATATAGTAGACAGAGTGATATAGATATAGTAGACAGAGTGATATAGATATAGTAGACAGAGTGATATAGATATAGTAGACAGAGTGATATAGATATAAGTAGACAGAGTGATATAGATATAGATAGACAGAGTGATATAGATATAGTAGACAGAGTGATATAGATATAATAGACAGAGTGATATAGATATAATAGACAGAGTGATATAGACAGAGTGATATAGATATAATAGACAGAGTGATATAGATATAGTAGACAGAGTGATATAGATATAATAGACAGAGTGATATAGATATAGTAGACAGAGTGATATAGAGTAGACAGAGTGATATAGATATGAGATGATATAGATATAATAGACAGAGTGATATAGATATAGTAGACAGAGTGATATAGATATAATAGACAGAGTGATATAGATATAATAGACAGAGTGATATAGATATAGTAGACAGAGTGATATAGATATAGTAGACAGAGTGATATAGATATAATAGACAGAGTGATATAGATATAGTAGACAGAGTGATATAGATATAGTAGACAGAGTGATATAGATATAGTAGACAGAGTGATATAGATATAAGTAGAATAGGATTAGACAGAGTGATATAGATATAGTAGACAGAGTGATATAGATATAGTAGACAGAGTGATATAGATATAATAGACAGAGTGATATAGATATAATAGACAGAGTGATATAGATATAGTAGACAGAGTGATATAGATATAGTAGACAGAGTGATATAGATATAGTAGACAGAGTGATATAGATATAGTAGACAGAGTGATATAGATATAGTAGACAGAGTGATATAGATATAGTAGACAGAGTGATATAGATATAGTAGACAGAGTGATAGATATAGATATAGTAGACAGAGTGATATAGATATAGTAGACAGAGTGATATAGATATAGTAGACAGAGTGATATAGATATAGTAGACAGAGTGATATAGATATAGTAGACAGAGTGATATAGATATAATAGACAGAGTGATATAGATATAGTAGACAGAGTGATATAGACAGAGTGATATAGATGTATTATAATAGACAGAGTGATATAGATATAGTAGACAGAGTGATATAGATATAATAGACAGAGTGATATAGATATAGTAGACAGAGTGATATAGATATAGTAGACAGAGTGATATAGACAGAGTGATATAGATATAGTAGACAGAGTGATATAGATATAAGTAGACAGAGTGATATAGATATAAGTAGACAGAGTGATATAGATATAATAGACAGAGTGAGAGCTCTCAGTGTTTGACGATCTTTGAACAGACAGCAGATATTTCTGTTCCACCCACCGACAGCCAACGAGCTAACTTTAGCTTCTTACAACATAATCTGTCAAACAAACTCACCGTTTTTAACTTTATTCGCTCACTTTTCTCCAGAGCTTTGAGTTTATATCCGTCTTTGCTCCCGGAATAAGATGGTCGTTTTGACGAATAACAATGAAGAACAGGATTATATGTGAGTGTGAACATTACGATGTTAGCCGAGCTAGTTAGCAACGACAAATACAACTCCATGTAAATAACTTGTGAGTCTGTGGAGATGAGCTCTCTCTGCTAATCCTCAAATCTCGATCTGCTCCCGGTTGGTGGTGTGTTTGATGTCATTATTAAGGTTTTAACAGGATGTTAAGTTATAGTTTATGTTAGCCTTTTAGCTGCTGGTGGCTAACTAGCCAACCTGGGTGTGCAGGTTGCTTAAAGCTGTGGTTTTTCAACATTTTCCCCCTTTTTCTTTCACTGATGATCCCCTGATTTCATATTATATTCAATGCATGACAGTAACAGGGCATAACAACTGATAAACTATGCAATGGACCCGAATAATGAACGATAACTGCAGAAGTTTGTGTAAAACCAGAGATTTGGATGCATTTTAAGCAGAATTTTATTCTATTATCTGTCTGTGGTATGTCTTTTTAGATTTATTAACAATCACACATATAAAAAGGTCCAGTGTGTAACATTTAGAAGGATCTATTGGTAGAAAATATATAAAATATAATATGTAGATCCCACTGAATCCTGCACACTGGACCTTTAATCAGCTTCCTTCTCGACAGATTCAGTGTTTTCTTCTTATTATTTATTAGTTTTTTGGTTGTTTGAACTTTTCTAATGAAGGACAATGTTGTTTATCACAGTACAGTGAATACAGTGTGTGTTCAGGTCTTCACCGTGACCTTATTGTGTTTATATCTTAAATAATAATATAAGAAAATAACAATTTCATGTAGTTTTCTTCACAGAAATAAAGGAATTATTGAGATTAAAATCAAGAAAGCTTCACAACCTCCTGTGAAGCTTTGGCAAACTCCCAGGTTGGAAATCCAAGCATAGACTATAATTTAAAGGGATGGTTGTCGTGAAGTCTTAAATCACATCAGGGAGTTTCTACCCACAAATTAGCAGATAAGCGTTGCTCTTGGCACTTTCTGCTACAAATCTTATTCAGATTATGTAATTATTTCCTTTTCAACACATAAAGAGGTAGCTACAGCTTATCGTTGTAAAATCTGTATGTATGACACTGCGTGGTTTGCACATCAGAGTTAAGTTATAAAAGCTAACTAACCCATGCAGATAGATTACATCATATTATGTTGCTGTAGTGTTGCTGTCAACCTGCAGGACTCGAGCTAAAAATGGCCTCAGCTGAGCAAGTTGGTACTTCAGAGGCAGAAAAACCCAGCAGAGACGGTCTTCACAACAACACCCACTGACCTACATCTGCAGCTCCTGCAGGATGCTCCTCCCAGCTCTCATACGTTCAAACATACTGCAGAGATAAAAGGGAAAACTATTTACTTTAAAGCCCTGAACAGCTGTTTTAAAAGCTCGTGATCAGCTTCACCTTGTTTCTTTTCTTGGATAGCGTGCCAAATAAGATTATGGTGTAATGACACACTGCAGGTTCGTATAGGTATTAGGGCAGCAGTAGCTCAGTATGTGGGGGGATCGGAGGGTCGGTGGTTCAAGCCCAGCACAGACCATAGTAAGGAGTGTGGACTGGTGGCTGAAGCCAGTTCTCCTCCTAGGCACTGAACCCCTAACTGCTCCCGTCTCTCTACATTTGCATTGTATTTTGGACAATTTCCCCATTAGAGGTTAATAAAGTAAATCTTCTTGTGCAGTTGTGCAGATAGCTTTTGTTTCCACTTCCAGCCTGCAGCACTGCTCCGTCACCGCCTTTAAAAGGACATCTGCATGCTCAAGAAAATGTTCAAACACAAAGAGCCGCCACAGCACAGACCGGTCTAAGCAAGAATAGTGCACGGTCATTGAAGTTGATGAAAATTAGGTCACAAAATATGTTCCATATCCTGTGTACTAAGAAAAGTGTGCTCTCTCACGCTGCTCTCACTAGTTAAAATAATCAGGGACTGAAGAAGTGTATGCAGCAGCTTGAGAAAGTGGGTACAAATGATCTACATCCCTTCAACCTAAACTGGCTAAATTGACATCTTGCACTTCGTCTTCCCAGCCTGATAGAGGAGCGTAAATGCACCTCTCTGCCCAGCTCTCCTGCCAAGCGAGTGTCTCCGACCAAAAAGAAGCAGTTTTATATCAATCAAGCCATCCGCAACTCTGACCTCACTCCCCGAGCCAAAGGCAAGAAGAGCCTCCGCCGACAAGAGAACAGTAAGCTCTCATTTCACATGATCAGTTTAAAAAGATGTTGTCATCCACTGCGGATGAACAATGCCGGACGAGCCTTTAAGTCCGCGTGCAGCTCTCCACTGCACACATATTTATTTTTGCATTGAAATGGCAAACGGTGCCTTTAGCAGTGGAAATGAGCATTTGCATTGAGTCACTGTCGATACAGAAATGCTACAAAAGAATGTTTTTTATCTCAAGAATTAACACATTTAACATCACCACTGTCCTTTTTTATGTCTTCTCTGAAAATCAGCGCTCTTTCTGGCTAATCTTCTTGAGAGAGACGAGTGCTCCAAAGATGATCTGGAAGCTTGCAGTAACCCGGCCATCCCGTCCATCTTCACTGAGGCCTGCACCAACGGAAACTACATAGAGGTACATTAACTTGTAGTTGTGCTTCAACTCGGCTGCCTTGCACATTCATTTCTTTCCAACAAGTATGTTTATTGTTGTTCTCTCGTTTTGAACATCCCATCAACAGTACATACACATCAAACTCGGATAGTATACCAATAAAACCATCTGTCCCCTCATTTGCATGTTTACACTGTATTTTCAGGAAAAGCTTAAGTTCATGTCTTTAATTATATTCATGTGAGGCTCCCACAGCTGAACAAAGTCTTGCTTCTTGCCCTTTGGCGATGTAGGTTAGTCTTTCCGGACCAATACAGCCCGGAAGCTCCCTTATCTACATACTCAATGATAGTGCAGCCATGCTCTTCCCACATAGTGAAATGGCTCTTCTGGCTTGGAGAAGTCCAAAAGTTTAGTCTTTTTCGATGTTTGTATAAAGTCCTCGGGGTTTATTCCAAGCACACAGAGTTTGGCACATAAGTGGACTTTGGTATGAAACAACCTTCAGAAAGTTTGGATCTTTGGACGTTCCCATAGACAATGAAACAGCATACCTTTCTCATTCAAACATTATGAACAACCATCTGGAATATCAGCAGACATATGATGAAGTTTGACTGGAGACTGGAGTTATAAACATTCTGCCTTCTGCATTAAGTCTTTCTTGGATTTGGATTTTTCTTTTAAGACAATTTTTTTGAACTCCCTAGAAAACCCAGAGATTTAAAAGTCTGATATCAAATATAAAAGCTCACGATAAAACGAGTATTGACCTCATCCCTCATTCTCTGGGTATCTTAGCCATGGAATGACTTCATGAATTGCTCCGGCGAGGAGCAGGAGAAGCTGTTGTCTCTGCTGGAGCAGGAGGGGGCCAAGAAGAAAAGCCCCACCCGGCTCCTCAAAGACGAGAGGAATGGTGAGCGTCTCAGTTTGTTTGTTTGTTCTGCAGCCTGGATGTTTTCCAGGGGCGGCTGTTTGGCTGACTCTCGCTCGTCTCTTCACAGTAAATCTTGCCTTCAGCGCTCAGGTCTGCTACCAGAGAATCGATCGCAGGCTGCGAGCGACTCTCAGACGCAAACAAATCCCCATGGTGAGAGTTTATATGCATGGTAGGAGTCTACATACATAGTGCAGCTTCAAGCTTAAGTTAGCCTTAAATTTTTGTCTTCTGTCTATATGATGAAATAATAACTGTTGGAAGATATGTTAAGCTCATTTTTGCCACGTTATGTTTATATTCTTGTTTGTCTCTGCTGTGCATCAAACCCACCAGCTTGTCTCTTAGTCACCATTACAAAAGTATTTTTTTCCCCACATACCGCTAGTCGGCCTGTATGTCATTTACTATTTTTGGCCTTTCTAGATTAATGTAAATGTCAAACAGTTTAAACCACAACACCAGATATTTAGTGGCAAACATTATATTGACCAAAGCCACGAACAGTCCTCTGAGTATCACTGAGGGGGAATTTGAGAAAAATCATCTTGAGCCTCCTGTAATCTGACTGAGGCCTTAGAAAAATTTAAGATTAGAAAATACATTAGCTCCTACCTGTTATTATAAAGCGTTAAGACTACATGCAGGGATGTGAGGGAAGTAAAAGAATCATGATTCAACAAGGAAGCTTGCAGATGTTCAGTATTTAGCTAAAATCATTTGATTGTTGTAGAGATTTAACCTCTAACCTTTCTCCCTCTCTTGCTTCCACCCACTACGCTGTTTTCTCCTCACAGGGAACTCTGGAAATACTTGAGAAAAACCTCCTGAGCTTCTTCAACACTCAGCCGCACTCAGTTTACACAACCAACCTCGCCAGCAGGTAAAAATACTTCTATTCTATAAAGTCTTTCAGAGAAAATATTTTAAAAGGTCTTCCCAATTTGTACAATTCATATACAGAAGTCTTAAATATTCCTTCTTCTGGCAGTAATGTTTATGTAAAATGTTTATTAACTATATCATCAGGAATTATTGTTATACAACAATATGGGACGTACAGAAATACTAGGCCGCATTGTCCCTACTGGTTTTTCATCATACTTTCATACCTTCCCCAGTGTGATTGTGAAACAACTTAAATTTGCACCCTTCATGTTTATAAACTTCCAGTACTTAGAAATAATTTAAATGATTTAAATTGATGGTC